AATACCTCAACATGTACACTGACGGCTCCAAGATGGAAGGATGAGTTGGAGCGGGCAAATACTGTACAGACCCCGAGACAAGGCTGTCGTATAAGCTACCAAGCCAATGCAGCATATTCCAGGCGGAAGTCTTCGCGGAAAGCGGCAGAGCTTGCGCAGGAAATATCCCGCCCATGTGAGGCGGTAAACCTGTTCGTCGACAGTCAGGCGGCGATTAGATCTATGCAATCGTCAGCAGTCAGTTCCAAAAATGTACTGGCAAGCAGGGCCGCACTAGATATCCTAAGCACGACAACGTCAGTGTGGATCTACTGGGTTCCCAGCAACAAGGGCATAAATGGAAACGAAAACGCAGACGAACTTGCAAAGGAAGGAGTCGTCCTGGCTATCGATAGAACAGAAAACGTCACAGTCTCTTTAAGAATGCTCCAAAGTGAGTTGGAGAGGCGGGTGGACGTAATAGCAAAGAGCAGGTGGAAAGGTAACTCCGCAACCTGCAAAACATCTAAAATCTTGTGCAAAGAGTGCAATGACAAACTCAACCGCTACGTACAGCATCTATCCCGAAAATCCTGCATACTATTAGTGGGAATTCTTACAAGTCACTGCCTTGCTGCCGCAATGCATTCAGGCTGGGCATCACCAACAACGGCAACTGCTGGAAATGCGATGAATCTGAGGCAACCGAAACCTTGGAGCATCTCATCTGTAAGTGCCCAGCCCTAACGCAGGCAGTACTGGCATCACTAGCAGATGCCTCAAGGAAGTCGCCAGGTTAACTACTTGCCTGCGCAAAAACTACCGCGATCCTTAATGACTTCAACACCGCGTAAGAAAAACAAGACCCGTATAAATAAGGGCCATACTTGTAGTGGCGACTGAAGACCCTGCCAAGGAAAAATCAGCCTAGAAGGATGCTACACTTTATGCGAAGCCTAAGCCTAGCTTCGCCAGTGTTGGCGATAACGTAAAGGCTGTTATGCGGCTACGTAACTAAGCTTTAAGCAAGCTTGCCGGCACGTGACGTAATGTGTAGAGCTGCATTTAACCAAAACGCGTTTTGCAAATTTAACAGCGAACTCACATTTGCTTTGAAGAAGAAGAAGAGCGTATTTTCCAATTTGGAAATTTTTGGTTATCTGTTGCGGAACTCAAGCAGTCTTTCCGTTTCTTTTTAAATCAAGACCTGGTAGAGCATAGACGTGTCTAGTGCTCATAATTGTTAATAATTAGACAGTGTCAGTGACTCGCGATCGGAAACCAAGTGTTAAAGCGGCAGCTAAAAGCTCATACTGAAGTGAGTATATGAATACCAAAGTGTTGGCACAGTAAATAACCCTTTTTTTTGTCCAGGGCAGGAAGGTGTCAAAAGTGGAGGCAGCAAGGCAGTTGAAATTCATGGCCAGTGTCAAAAGGCGAGAAGGCCTTTCTCCGAAGGGAGACGACTTTATGTCAGTGCCAGGGCTCGGCCAGCGGGTAAACATTTTAATGCCGTGTTCATTTTATCCAGTGCTGACTGTGTGAATTTAAAAATTACAGATTGGGCCCTGCAGCCAGAAATTTAAAACGCCAAAGAAGGGGCACCCCTAAGCAAGGGGGCATGAAGTGATGGGGAGTTGCAGCGGCACCTGAGGAGCAGCGCTGAGCAACGGCTGACCAACAGCGCGGATGCGCAACACATTTGCTGGCCAGTGCACTGTAGTGGCGCCGCCTAGAGAGGCGATTTTTTTGTGTTGTGCGGGAAACCTAGGTTATGTAACCAGGGCAATAACCCCTAGTGACCCCAACCATGCGGATTAGCCGCCATATCGGCTGGTGAAAATTTTAACCTCCATTAGTGAGGATCTGTGCTAGTGCTAGACGTTCATTAAATGGGTTTTAACCCTCTAAGGCCTATTTTGCCTTCTTCGTTTTTCCCGATTTTGTTGTGCTAAATTTGCTCTGAAATACTTGTCTAAATTTTGACACAAACTGCTGCTAACTCGTGCTTTAATTATGGAAATTATGTTCGACCTTTAAAAGCCTTCCTACTTGCACTCGCCTAAACAAAAATGAATGAAGCCACAAAAATCATATGAATATTATGCTGAATTTGAAACAATTTCCTTTAAATCTTAAACTTAACGATTTTATAAATTTTTAAATTATTTAACTTTAAAAAATTTAAAAATACTATATTATTCCAAATATTTAATTTAAAATTAGGAAATGAATTCTTTTGTTGCTTAGGAATAGGGTAAAAAAAATAATAATGAAGAATGAAGTAAACCCAGGTTACAGCCAGAGGCCTTTCGAACTATAACCTTTTCCAGCTATTCTTCGAGGGAGATCGATCTTTCGCCGATGGAACAGATGAGTGAGTTGTACAAAAAAATGGTGTAGTTTCGAATGAAGATATATAATGAATTTAAAAGAAAAATCCAAGAAAACGAGAATACAAAAAAATTTGAAACGAATCAAAACGAATTCAAAACAAACAAATCAAATTTGCCATACACTAACTAAAAATGACCTAGGTTAGCAACAACTGAAATTAGAGAATTAAAACGCACAAAAAAAAAAAAAAAAAAATGAAGTTACTCCATTCTATTATTTAAAATTTTAATGTTAAAAGAACATTTAAAGATAAAATTTAAATTTAATTCAAACTGAAAGAGCATGCATAAATATATTTTTCTTAAATTTTATAATTTCTTATTGGGTCAAAGGGGATCACCAGAGCCAGGCTCTTGCGGCAGGTGATCATAGGTTGGGTGGGCATAAAGCGAGCACAGTAACATCCGTGTTTCCCCAATGATTGAATTTTCTCTGTCTTCTTTTCAGTTTTCTTTACATCCGCTTTTCTTCTGTCTTCTTTTTATGGTGTGAATTTTGTTTATCATTTCTTCCGGTTTAGTTCTAGCTTTTATTTCTGTCGCAGCACGCTCAATTTCTAGTCTTTTTAATAGTAATGTGTAGTCGTTGTCCGAGATCTGGGTGATTAAGACCTCCACCCCCAAAGCCGACGAGCTAGAGCCTGAAATTTATAGCGTGCCCCAGCAGCTCAGATCCTCGCCAACCCCCGACAAACTATATGGTTGTACACTACAGATTTTCGGATTTAGTTTCATGAAAAAAAAAAAAATACTCCCACAGCCCAGACTTACTATGGTATCGTGCTCACAAGAGAAGCCAGAGAGCTCCTCAAAATCAAAAGGCGCCTTCGTAGACGAGCAATTCGATCCCAAGATCCTTGGGATCGCATTCTGTGGAACAGAGCAGCGAAACAACTCCGCGAAGTCCTGAAGGAACTTCGAAGTGATTTTTTCGAAAAAAAAAGTTGGCTAACATGGATTACACCGTCGCACTATGGGCCAGGCGGCCCGGATTTTGGCCAAAAGGGTCAAAAATGGTTTTAAGAAAATGAGAAAAAAAACAATTGCATTATAAAAAGGATAGATTAAGCTATCTTTCTTCAAAATTTTATTACTCTCTATTCAATGGGTACGAGATGGCAGCTAATCAAAGTGGATATTTGCGTTTAATTTTTCCATTTTATTGGCAAAAATAAAAATTTCCTGCCCCCAAGCGGGCAGCTATAGTCACATCGAAATGCTTTTAATGAAACTAATAGAACCCAAAATTAAAAAAAATATGTTTTTTATATATTACACTTATTATTTTACAAACAAATTTAAAAAGAACACAGTTTTTAACCCATTTTTCACAAATTGTGATTTCAAACTTAGGGTACCTCGACGTACCACCTCCGATCAAATTGAAAAAAATCTTAAAAATAACTTTGAATATTTCGCTTTTACGTATAAGCTGTCCCAAATTCGCACTCTGAGGTTTTTTATACCAAAATTAAATTTTTAAACTTATATTATTAAAAAAAGTCTTTATAATACTGCCTAAAGGCAGGCAAGAAATAATATATTGCACGCATTGACAAGCAAAAGTACAATTTAAAAAATTTGTGGCATACTTTTAGTGCCACATTTTACAAGCATCTATAAAAATGATTTTTTTGGTGAAAACTTAAAAAATTATTGGTTTAAAAACTACTTTTTTTTGTTTTTGTTGTAATAGAGACCATATTGGAAGTAAAAAACAAAAATTGCGGTAGATTGCTTCAAAGACGTTCATGTAATTGAGACTAGAAATTTGAACTTAAGGGGCTTAAAACTAAAAAACGACTGCATTTAATGCAACAAATATATTTTTTTCTAATAAATATTATCTAAATACTCATTTCTGTAAAGTGAGATCCAAATCGAATTGCTGGTTTTTTATTTTTTATGAAAAACAAAATAAGAGGAAATATTTTTCAACTTCATAACTTCATAAAAAAAACATTTTCTATTACTAATTTTTGAACACATAAAATTCAATGTTTTGAGAATGTGCATGCCAAATTTCACGTCTCTAAAAAATTCATTTTAGAAGTTACAGAGTTTTGGCCAAAATATGAACTTCCTGGCCCATAGTGCACTGGTTGCAAATCGCCATATTACTCTCCTTGCATTTCTTAAAAACCTGCCAAGCCAGCGACGTTTCCCTTTTGCGTTTATTTGTATTCTGCTATATGTCATCCTCAAATACATTTTCTTTATTGCCAGTTGATATTAATTTTACTAAAAAATAAAATAGTCCACTATATATAATCATAAATTTCATAAAAAAAAAACAAAATAATGCGAGACAAAACCAATTTTACTTACACGTTGCCCCAATGCATTGCAATGCGCAGATACAATTAAAAACAATCGATAGTGGCCTATGAGCCATCGATGTTTAGAAAATTTAAGAAACATCGATAGTGCCATCGATTGTTTTCCAGCTCTACTTTTCAGTGGCAGATCGACCGTGGAACGATGAGCAGGGGTACGTTTCTTTGCGCTGTGCTCTCGTTTCTGTGTATACATATGTGTATATGTGTACAAGCGCTCGCACGTTTGTATGCGTGTTCAAATTTCTGCATGCAGTCTTTTTCAAAGATTTTGGACGGCCACAGCCAGTGCGCCGCGGCGGTGGCTCACTTGCTTATGACGTCACAGCAATACTGAGCGGCTAGCGCTTACATTGGGGACAAATTATTTAAGTTAAGTTAAGGCTTATTGCAAATACTGCAAATGCAGTATTAACTGTAAAATTAACCAAATAAGAGCGCACATGACGACCAAAAAACATGCACAAAATACATCAAGTTTATTGAAACAAAGTAAAATTGGTTTCAAACCGGTCAAATCTTCAGAAACTTGTCGCCAAGAAGCTGTGATAGCTATGTTTATAGCCCAGCATCGTGCTATTGAGCCGGTTGGCCACCTATGTGAATTATTGAAATTGTTTGGAGCGAAGAAGGTTAAATTACACAGAACCAAGTGCACTAACCTTATTAAAAATGTAGTATCTGTGCACTTTAATGAAGATCTGCGTCTTGACCTGGGCAACGAAAAGTTCAGTCTGTTAATTGATGCGTCTACCGATATAAGTATAACCAAGCTTCTAGGTAAGTAACAGTCGTTAATGTAACCTTATATCAATATTAAAATTTTTGTGTTTTCAGGGGTTGCTATAATATATTACAGCGCTCAATGCGAGAAAATTCAATCGACGTTCCTTTCACTTGTGTCAATTGAAAGTGGAGACGCACTTAACATTTCCAAGTGCCTCCTGGATGAGCTGTCTCGCCTTAAAATTCCCGTATCAAACATGATAGGAATCGGCACTGATAACGCCAGTGTGATGGTGGGTAGAAAAAAAGCGTTTATACATTATTAAAGGAGAGCGTGCCGTCGTTGATTCTTCTTAAATGTGTGTGCCACTCAGTCCAATTGGCTGTCAATGCTGCTTGCAAGGTGGTTTTACCGGAAGGGCTTGAATTTCTTATAAGTAAAACGTACGCTTGGTTCTGTAAGAGTTCAAGTAGGCAAATTGCCTATAGAGAACTATATAAATGCATTAATAGTGATGAGGTATTTTCAAAAATATGTTTTAACGTATAAATATGTGTTTTAACATCTTTAATGGATTACTATTGTGTTTGTTTTAATATTAACTATACTGCAATAGACAGTTTGTTGTTCGTACCTGTCCCAGTTGTTTGTATTGAAAATATAACCATATACATATATGTGCAATCATAACTTATGTGCATTAAACAATTTTATTTAAATATATCCCATTAAATATTATATATTTTATTTTAATTTATGCATCACAGGGCTCCTCTTAAAATCACCAGAGTCGCTGACACAGCCATCTGGCTGTCTATTAAAAACGCAGTAAAACGTATAATAATTCTGTGGATTGAGCTAAAATTGCATTTTCAAACTGCAGCGTTGGCAGAAAAATGCCACAAAGCAAATATATTGACTGAATTATACAATGACGTCAATTATTTATATTTGCTGTTTTTGAAGCCAATTCTTGACGATATGGCAAGAATCAATAAAAATTTCCAAAGCAAAGACGCAAACGCAACCAAATTACTGGGCGATTTCATTGTGAGCATTAACTGCCTCAAATAGAAAATAATACCGATCGAAGTTGAAGTTAACGTTCTCGACAAAGAATTTGAACAACATATGTATAAGACAAGATTTGTATTTGGGATATGAATTTGAATCCAGATTGTCAAATTTAAAAGGGACAATTGATGATGCAAGAGTTAAAAATTCGGCGTACCTGTACAGATTTTGTGATCGAATTGATGAATCAATTAAAGCAAAGGTAAATATGTTACTATATATAAATATTATTTTTGAAATACAACAAATTTTTTGATGTTTTTTAGATTGCCTGACAATTATTCCACGTAAAAAAAAATAGACGCATTTTCGGTAAATCGTATTTTAAATTCCAAAAAGGACTCAATCCTGCCTATTTTAAATATATTTTCAATACATCCTGAGATTAAAAGCAAAATAATTTCACAATATTCACCTAATAAATTGGGAAAACATTGAAAATACTTCAAATTTTGGTCAGAAGTGAAGAGGTATCGGGATTCTGCAGGCAACAACCCCTATGAGGACCTGGTGAATTTCACTCTCAGCCTGCTTTCATAGCCATGTTCAAATGCTGAGGTAGAGAGAGTTTTCAGCCAATTAAACTTGGAGAAAACCAAAATTAGGAACCGTTTAGAGGTACATATATACATTAAATGCCATTTTGGCGATTAGGTAAATATACATATTTTTTAAAAGTTACGTTGTAAATTCAAGTACATGTATTCTTTCTTCAGATTCGGATTCCGTCGCCATAAATTATGTTGTCATAATTATAACTTGCCTGAAAAGTATCTCCAATTAATTGGCTCCATGGCTACTTATGAGGACAGCCTTAAAACTATTATCTTAATAACAATATTATAAAATTACTGTAAACAAACTTTTTGTCATTTTTCTATCCTTTTATAATATTTTCATCCTATTTTTCCTGTTTTTTTTTTTAAATATTGGCATCACTGTTCTAGACATATCGTTCGGGTGCTCTGGGGTTCCAGGCTCAGCCGTTTTTGTGATAGTACTTTTTTGTACTGTTTGACTTTTCTATGTATTTCTTGCTTAGTGGTCAAATATAACAGGGAGCTCAGAGTTGCACTAGGGAAGAAGAGCTTGAAATCCAATTAGGAAATTTTTCGCTGCTACTGCACAAGCACATTCCGTTTCCGTAAGGTCTTTTAGATCGAGATCCGGAAGTGCATACACGTAAATAAGATCTTACAAGAGCTAATATTAGCCTAAAGTGCCAGTGAATCACATTTTTTGACTTAGGTATTTGAGAATTTATTCGGTAAAGTGGACGCTAAAAGCTCTACATAAAATGAGTACAGGAGTGCAAAGTTTTAGGGACAGTAAATAACCATTTTTGTTGTACAGATCAAAAAGGTTAGAAAAGTGGAGGCAGCGAAGCAGCACCAATCCACGGCCAGTGCCAAGGGTCGAGGAGACCTTTCACCGAAGGGCAAAAATCATAATTGTGGTACCAGGGCTCAGCCAGTGGGTAAATATGAAAATACAGTGTTCTTTATAAGCAGTGCTTACTGTGAATTTAAAAAAAAAAACAGATTGCGCCCTGCAGTATACTTTAAAGTCCCTAGGCAAGGGGTACCCCTAAGCTGACGCGAGACGAGGAGCAACAACCAGCGCAGGAGGAGCCGATTCTCAATAAAAATCTGGCCAACAGCGCGGATGCGCAACCCATTTTCTGGCCAGCTTCGCGTCTGAAGAGAGGATTCATTTTTTTTGTAAAATTTTGTTACGTAACCGGGGAAATGACCCCAAGTGACTTTGACCACGCGGGTTAACCTTCATTCGCCCTCTGTGATCTAACCTCCTTAGAGTATATTAGTGCAAGTGTAAAAGAACATTAAATGGGGTTTTACCCATTAAGCCCATTTTGGCTACTTCCTTTTTTCTGAATAATTGTTCGACCAATTTGCTCAAAGAAAGTCAGTGAGATTATTGGCCCAAAACTGTTGCTGATGTTGGCCTTTTGAATTTGGAAAATTTATGCTCGACATATACCTCTGCTTACGACTAGCTTAAAATTTAATGAAGCCAATGATGTGAATTTATGCTGAATTGCAAACATTTTAATTTAATTTATAATTAATTTAGTTTTATGCTTAACTTTAATTTTACACACATTTATTTAAAATTTATATGTCTTCACAATCCATTACAATTACAAATGGAGTTCTCTTGTTGCATAGCGAAGATAATAGTGTAATGAAAATAGGGTGAACGGGCCATTCGAACTTTAACCGCCTTTTCCAGCAAATCGTCGAGGGAGATCGATCTTCGCCGAAGGATAACTTTAGTGAGTTTTAAAAGAAGTTATTGATTCGAATAAAAACATACAAATGCCAAGAAAAATGAGAATATTTGAAAACGAAAACAATTTAAAATAATTTAATTTAAAATACACTAAATGAAATCTACTTAAACTATGGCAACAACTGAAATTAAGAAAAAATCCAAAACTAAAAGACATGAAGTCCATATATTTCGATAGTTTAAAAAAAAAAAAAAAAAAACATGAGCTAAAACAACACTTAAGCATACAATTTCGATTTAATTTAAACTTTTAAGATGAAAAAATATTTCTTTTAAATTTTTTTACAATTTTTAAACACTCACATATACACACATGCACCTCTTTTATATTCTACATTTTTATTTTAGCTTATATTTACCTTCTTTGTTAGCTTTAAGTTTTAAATTTATTTTATTAAACCGTTTTATACCCTTGCAGGGTATTATAATTTCAGTCAGAAGTTTGCAACGCAGTGAAGGAGGCACCTCCGACTATATAAAGTATATATATTCTTGATCAGGATCAACAGCCGAGTCGATCTAGCCATGTCCGTCTGTCCTTCTGTCCGTCTGTCCGTTTCTACGCAAACTAGTCTCTCAGTTTTGAAGCTATCTGAACGAAACTTTGTAGTTAGCCTTCTATATACTCTCACTCGTATATATGTCGGAACGGGCCGGATCGGACGACTATATCATATAGCTGCCATAGGAATGATCGGAAAATTTTTACAAAAAAATTTTTAACTTTTCAGTTTTCAATAGAATTGGATCAAATTTGAGATATAGCCATTTTACTATACTCTACAATTTTGCATAAAATTTTATGAAAATCGGACTACTATATCATATAGCTCCCATAGGAACGATCGAGAAATTAATACAATTAAATTTATAACTTTTTCAGTTTTCAGCTGATTTTCATCAAATTTGAGGTATAGCCATTTTGTATTAGTCTTAAATTTTGTGTCAAATTTCATGAAAATCGGACGACTATGTTATATAGGTGCCATACAAACAATTGTTTGATGTAGAGGAAAAATGCAAATCTGTGAATGTAAAACTGCAAATATAATATGTATAGGTGAATGAAATGAAAGCAGGTATTACTTCATTTTTTTTAACACAAATAAATATAATTTATATTGTTGAGATTCCAAGTCATAGAAGTTCTATCTGCAAGGGTATATAAACTTCGGCGTGCCGAAGTTAGCTTCCTTTCTTGTTTAACTTTTGAAATCATGGAAGCTTAAAAACCGTAATTTACCGACTCGTAGGATGACTCCTCGGTCGTAGGGTTCTAAAGGGATCACCAGAGCCATGCTCTTGCGGCAGGTGATCATAGGTTGCGTGGGCATAAAGCGAGCACAATAACATCTGTGACTCTGCGATGTATTGATTTTCTCTCTGTCTTCTCTTCAGTTTTCTCTACTTCCGCTTTTCTTCTGACTTTTGTTCTTAGTGTGAATTTTGTTTATTGTTCTTCCGATTATCTTCTAGCTATTGTCGCAGCACGCCAATTTCTTGTCTTGTTAATAATTATGTGTAGTCGTCGAACGAGATCTAGGTGAGCAAGACCTCCACCCCCAAAGCCGACGAGCTAGAGCCGGAAATTTATAGCGTGCCCCAGCAGCTCAGATCCTCGCCAACCCCCGACAAACTATATGGTTGCACACTACAGATTTTCGGTTTTAGTTTCATGAAAAAAAAAAATACTCCCACAGCCCAGACTTACTATGGTATCGTGCTCACAAGAGAAGCCAGAGAGCTCCTCAAAATCAAAAGGCGCCTTCGTAGACGAGCAATTCGATCCCAAGATCCTTGGGATCGCATTCTGTGGAACAGAGCAGCGAAACAACTCCGCGAAGTCCTGAAGGAACTTCGAAGTGATTTTTTCGAAAAAAAAAGTTGGCTAACATGGATTACACCGTCGACGCAAACTATTCGCTATGGAAGTGTACA